CCGTCGATCGGGACTAAATAATATTAAAATCCATTTTCTGAACGGGAAATCGTCATCACAGAGGTTTGCCCCACGGAAAGAAACAATGAGTTGCTCTAATAATTGCGAGACTTGCAAATCGGGAAAAAAACCAAATCGTTGCCACAATAAGAACGTTGTATACGAAATTGAATGCCTGCATTGTAATAAAGTTTATATTGGTGAAACTGGTAGGACAATTGGCACGCGCATTAAAGAACATTTGACCATGAATAAGCAAACCATATACAAACACATTGAATCCCACAGGAGTAACGAAGATGACATGCGAACCATAACTTGGAGAATCCAACATTCCAACATAAACAATGATGATGAGCGTAAGTGCATTGAGGCTTTTGAAATCAAGAAACGAGCGGGAAACTTAATAAACGGATGCATTGGTAGAACAATTAACATTTAATCTGTATTTTGCATGATACGCATGAATAACAACATTTTTAGCTCGTTATTGCCCACATTCCACCTGTTTATTCAAATTTAGTCTAGCTTTTAGTATATATTCAACGGACGTGACCAGTTAAAACATTCCCCTGAAGAAGCCTTAACCGGCGAAACGTTGGGACAAATTTTTAAATTTTTTATTGCCTTTTTTAAAGTCTTTTTTAAATTTTTTAAATAAAAATTATATTCATATATATATTCATATATATATATATATATATATATATATATATATATATATATATATATATATATATATATATATATATATATATATATATATATATATATATATATATATATATATATATATATATATATATATATATATATATATATACGAGTAGGTTTGTATATACGAAACGCAAAGAGTGCTCAGTACCATAAAGATAGAGCAAATATAGAATTTCGCTTACCTCAAAATTCCGCAACAGTCTGTTTCATCAGCAAAGAATCATTACTGAATACCGCCTGATGATTCTTTACTGATGAAACAGACTGTTGCGGAATTTGAGGTAAGCGAAATTTTATATAATTATATATATATATATATAGAAAGACACAAAAACTTAGCAAGCTTTGTTTGGCATATTTATTACTATACAGTTTCGTACCACGTAAATAACGTGGCACTCTTCAGATAAAATAGCCTATGTTGAGCACACCATCATTGGTTTTTGTAACCCAACACAAACTATTTTATACTATATATATATATATATATATATATATATATATATATATATATATATATATATATATATATATATATATATATATATATATATTCTATATATATATTCTATATTCTTAATTCTTCTTGGTTATTTTATAATTATTAATTATTATTAATAATTATTAATAATAATTAATAATTAATTAGTAATTCGAAGGTCACGGGTGTACAATTACACAACTAACATAACACTTACAGAACTAGTATTGTTCGATGCTGAATTAATATAAACGATTATGTTTATGACATTCAGTATATATTTCATAATTTTCAGTCTTAAATCCGTCTGACCGTGTAGCTCAGTAGGTAGAGCGTCGATCTAGTAATTCGAAGGTCGCGGGTTCGAGACCCAGCCGCGGCAGACAACATCTTTCTGCTTGCGCTGGGTATGAAAATTATATAATACACACTCTAGAACATTTTCATCTTAATATATATATATATATATATAGATAGATATATAAATAACTACAGACGGTACCGTTTCGGCCTAATGGGCCTCATCAGTGTAGTGCTGATGAGCAGGATGAAAGTAACTCTTATTTATAGTTACCTTTGATGCCTCACGATTGTGGGACATCAAAACCATGCCAGAGCGCTCAAACTGCAAGCAGTGAGCGTGCGCAATGCGTAAGCGGCATGGCTCATCCTGTAGAGCGCTCAATATGACCTAAAAGGCCATAGAACGATATCTAACTACAGACGGTACCGTTTCGGCCTTATGGGCCTCATCAGTGTAGTGCTGATGAGCAGGATGAAAGTAACTGCTATTTACAGTTACCTTTGATGCCTCACGATTGTGGGACATCAAAACCATGCCAGAGCGCTCAAACTGCTAGCAGTGAGCGTGCGCAATGCGTAAGCGGCATGGCTCATCCTGTAGAGCGCTCAATATGACCCAAAGGCCATAGAGCGATATCTAACTACAGACGGTACCGTTTCGGCCTAATGGGCCTCATCAGTGTAGTGCTGATGAGCAGGATGAAAGTAACTCTTATTTATGGTTACCTTTGATGCCTCACGATTGTGGGACATCAAAACCATGCCAGAGCGCTCAAACTGCAAGCAGTGAGCGTGCGCAATGCGTAAGCGGCATGGCTCATCCTGTAGAGCGCTCAATATGACCTAAAGGCCATAGAGCGATATCTAACTACAGACGGTACCGTTTCGGCCTAATGGGCCTCATCAGTGTAGTGCTGATGAGCAGGATGAAAGTAACTCTTATTTATAGTTACCTTTGATGCCTCACGATTGTGGGACATCAAAACCATGCCAGAGCGCTCAAACTGCAAGCAGTGAGCGTGCGCAATGCGTAAGCGGCATGGCTCATCCTGTAGAGCGCTCAATATGACCTAAAGGCCATAGAGCGATATCTAACTACAGACGGTACCGTTTCGGCCTAATGGGCCTCATCAGTGTAGTGCTGATGAGCAGGATGAAAGTAACTCTTATTTATAGTTACCTTTGATGCCTCACGATTGTGGGACATCAAAACCATGCCAGAGCGCTCAAACTGCAAGCAGTGAGCGTGCGCAATGCGTAAGCGGCATGGCTCATCCTGTAGAGCGCTCAATATGACCTAAAGGCCATAGAGCGATATCTAACTACAGACGGTACCGTTTCGGCCTAATGGGCCTCATCAGTGTAGCGCTGATGAGCAGGATGAAAGTAACTCTTATTTATAGTTACCTTTGATGCCTCACGATTGTGGGACATCAAAACCATGCCAGAGCGCTCAAACTGCAAGCAGTGAGCGTGCGCAATGCGTAAGCGGCATGGCTCATCCTGTAGAGCGCTCAATATGACCTAAAGGCCATAGAGCGATATCTAACTACAGACGGTACCGTTTCGGCCGTATGGGCCTCATCAGTGTAGTGCTGATGAGCAGGATGAAAGTAACTGCTATTTACAGTTACCTTTGATGCCTCACGATTGTGGGACATCAAAACCATGCCAGAGCGCTCAAGCTGCAAGCAGTGAGCGTGCGCAATGCGTAAGCGGCATGGCTCATCCTGTAGAGCGCTCAATATGACCTAAAGGCCATAGAGCGATATCTAACTACAGACGGTACCGTTTCGGCCTTATGGGCCTCATCATTGTAGTGCTGATGAGCAGGATGAAAGTAACTGCTATTTACAGTTACCTTTGATGCCTCACGATTGTGGGACATCAAAACCATGCCAGAGCGCTCAAACTGCAAGCAGTGAGCGTGCGCAATGCGTAAGCGGCATGGCTCATCCTGTAGAGCGCTCAATATGACCTAAAGGCCATAGAGCGATATCTAACTACAGACGGTACCGTTTCGGCCTTATGGGCCTCATCAGTGTAGTGCTGATGAGCAGGATAAAAGTAACTGCTATTTACAGTTACCTTTGATGCCTCACGATTGTGGGACATCAAAATCATGCCAGAGCGCTCAAACTGCAAGCCGTGAGCGTGTGCAATGCGTAAGCAGCATGGCTCATCCTGTAGAGCGCTCAATATGACCTAAAGGCCATAGAGCGATATCTAACTACAGACGGTACCGTTTCGGCCTTATGGGCCTCATCAGTGTAGTGCTGATGAGCAGGATGAAAGTAACAGCTATTTACAGTTACCTTTGATGCCTCACAATTGTGGGACATCAAAACCATGCCAGGGCGCTCAAACTGCAAGCAGTGAGCGTGCGCACAATGGGTAAGCAGCAATGGCTCATCCTGTAGAGTGCTCAATATGACCTAAAGGCCATAGAGCAATATCTAACTACAGACGGTACCGTTTCGGCCTTATGGGCCTCATCAGTGTAGTGCTGATGAGCAGGATGAAAGTAACTCTTATTTATAGTTACCTTTGATGCCTCACGATTGTGGGACATCAAACCATGCCAGAGCGCTCAAACTGCAAGCAGTGAGCGTGCGCAATGCGTAAGCGGCATGGCTCATCCTGTAGAGCGCTCAATATGACCTAAAGGCCATAGAGCGATATATAACTACAGACGGTACCGTTTCGGCCTTATGGGCCTCATCAGTGTAGTGCTGATGAGCAGGATGAAAGTAACTGCTATTTACAGTTACCTTTGATGCCGCACGATTGTGGGACATCAAAACCATACCAGAGCGCTCAAACTGCATGCAGTGAACGTGCGCAATATATATAAATATATATATATATATATATATATATATATATATATATATATATATATATATATATATATATATATATATATATATATATATATATGTAGCGGTTTTTGAGTTGTTTTCAGACGAGTGTATACCAAACCGGGCAAGCAGAAAATTCTACTTGACCGCGGCTGGGATTCGAACCCGCGACCTTCGCATTTCTAGAACGATGCTCTACCGTCTGAGCTACAAGGTCAAGCTGAGAACGACTTGTTAAGTCGACTTGTTACGTCGTTCTCAGCTTGACCTTGTAGCTCAGACGGTAGAGCATCGTTCTAGAAATGCGAAGGTCGCGGGTTCGAATCCCAGCCGCGGTCAAGTAGAATTTTCTGCTTGCCGGTTTGGTATACACTCGTCTGAAAACAACTCAAAAACTCTACATAACGTTACACGAGTGGAATCATAAACGTGGGAAACCACAACATTCATATATATATATATATATATATATATATATATATATATATATATATATATATATATATATATATATATATATATAGTATATATATATATATAGTGTATAATATATATATATATATATATATATATATATATATATATATATATATATATATATATATATATATATATATATATATATATATATATTCCAGGTAAATGTACAACGTTCTGACATTTGCACACAAGAGAAGAGAGGAAAATTTATTGTTGTTAAAGATCGCAATGGTGATGATGATGTCGCGGTTTGTATTCAACATCGTGGAAAATATCACTGGCATGAGCTCAAAGGTACTAACATCGTCTTTATGTCTTATGTTTTAGCTTTAATTTTCACGCTGTGCAAGCTTTTAAATTCACAGTTTCTGCGTGTTAACGGCGTTTGTAAAGGTTATGTAAATGTTAAATGAATATATATCTATTAGAATCATTTGATTTGGTAAAAAACAAACAAACAAACTATTCCAACAAACTTTGCCGTGATACTGAGTTGAAACCTTTTCGCTAGTTCCTATGCTATGTGAGATTCCACGACGGACAGTTTTTCGCGTTTATGTTATGCTATACGGAGTATACTGCATGCTACCTCCTCCGCAGGCCTTTCAAAAAAATAAAATTAGTGCGAAACGAACCGAAAGGCCTGCGGACTAATTTTCCAAAATGGCGGGAAGTCACAAACCAAATTATATTTAATATATCATTTTACCAAAACAATATTATTATTACAGTCTTTAACTGCTTCTGATATAGACCGCTTTTTGTATCAGCAATGTACATAAAAACAGTGAACACTGAACAAACAAGCATAGACAATGATTTATAAAGAGAAGCAGATAAATATCAGTTTATAATTTGCATATTATAAACACGCAGCGCTTTTATGTAACACGTCGTATGTCAGGCATGCGGCCGTTTATCCACGAAATTTATTCCATTTATATTTGTGACTTTTATACTGTGTAACTATTTAAATGCGTATATGTATATAGTCAAAACATCCCATTTGGCCAAATGATAGATTCACAACGTCTATTATCACTGTCGCTTGTGCTTGTAAAACCCTCCATTATTTGAATCTCCTCGTCGCTTTTCTCAGCCATAACTGCCAAGATGGATTTAGAAAATACTCGCAAAACGGGATTGCTAAAGATTGGCAGACGATGTGCCATATTTTTGAAGAAATTTGACCCAACCGAGTAATCGACACCAAAAGCCAAGTAATCGACATGTTATTCAACAGACCTTACAGCTACGCAAGCCTTTGTCTCAAATTTCAAATTCAAACCTGCGAACGGGCATACTCATTACGAGCTGTATGGCCTGCGGAGGAGGTAGTATACTGCATGTGTTTTCGGAACTTCCGAGTAAAAACTAAAAAGTGTGTTAAACTCGATTTCGTCTCGGTGAATATTCATTGTCATTACTAGCTTTGCCTTAAGTATTGTGCATGTTTAATTGTCTTTATTGTTCCGTTTGAACTTGTATAATACTGTGTCGTTTGTCTTTCTTTCATTGTCACTTGTGCAATTATCGTTTCATTGTTTAATCGAAACTTGCAAATAGCGTGTTATCGTCCTTTTTGTCTTTTGCTAAATTAATGACAGTATTTGATGTATTCAGCGTGTATATAAGGCCTCCTCTAGATGCTAAACGCATAAAATATGCAAAGCTTCTCAGCTCCTTGTTGAAACGATCGAAAGTTACAGCCACAAATTGACCGCACCTACAAAGTTGAGTCAACCCATCTTGCCCGAGTATGCGTAGCCATATACATATATACTGACTGAATATTATTGAGACCGTGATAAGACGAACTACTGACGAACTATTTCAAGATATGGCACAAAAGCATATTATGTGCAATTTAAACCTTATTTTGTCATAAATAACTCAAAGTAAAGCAGAAGAAAAACGCGCAGACTGATGCCATACAATAAATGCTCAGCGACATGGCCACTTTCATCTGAGCAATTTGCGGTCGTGAAATAAAAGGGCTCAGCTCCCTTGCATGCAGTTAGTTTGGCGATAACATTTATTATTTATATATATGCTTTACCCTCACCCTCTCGGTGTTTTATTATATATTCTCTATTAGCTAATTGGCTGATGCCGCGCTCTTTTTTTTTCCAGTGGTGACATATGAATCGTGCAAACAAATATTGACGAGCCCAAGGTAAATACATAGAGGATATGAGATGGTTGCTAGAAGATATGGATTTTATGTTCGAGTGGCAAAAACAATGTCTCACGAGTGAGCGCAGCGCATTATTGACATATAAATAAGCTGCGACAGATCAGTACTACAAATTTTTAAATATTTTTAAAATTATAGCGCAAACATAAGATTAGAATAAATTTTACTTATCTCAAGATGTCTTTTAATAATTAAATGTTTTCGTTTTATTTCCAACGTTAATTTGAATTCGTTTTATATACGAACCAAAGACCAGTTGTATTTTCAAAACAACAACAACAAATGATGAAAATGGCGGGAAATTTTCGAACTTCGTATATGTCACTCGCAAGGGTGAAATACAGAAAATACGCCCATCTGCAGGCCCCGGATGTAGTGGTAAATGAGTTCCACGAGTGTTTTAGTTTCCAGTAACATACCATGCATTGTCCATATAATAAATAGCTTTATTTGATCACGCTATAGCCTAAATTCCCAACTTTTTAAAAAATAAACTGACTAAGCTGCAGGTTTATAGAAGGGGTTGTTGTTATTAATTCCGTGAATACTATATACTACCACATCTACAACTACTATGTATTAGATTATTTGCAAGTTAAACACTTTAAATGGTAATCGAAGAAGTTCAAGAACAGAAAGTACGCGAAGTATATTACACGTACCCATTTGCCAGTCTATTCTAATTAAACCCGCATAAATTACAGTATATTCAATGAATCTATACGGTTTCAGCAAACGGCAGATCGGCAATGCGATGTCTAAATTGATAAAATAAGGTTCGAATCCATTTTTTGCCACAGGTGGAAAATTGTTCCACAAATTCGTTTTTGGTTTTGGTAGAGATATCGATTAAACGAGTTTCCAAATTGCGTAAATTGTAAACACGGCGCCAAAGTCTTACTGAGGATCTTATACACAGCAGGACACTCCTTACTTTATCAACGTTTTGGGTTTCCTGTGAAATTTCCAACTGACGTTTCTGCACGAGTTATATAAGGCAAAAACAGTTAGAAAATATTTCATTTATCTTATAGAAACAACGGAAATGGTGTTTACAAAATCATTGTTGGGAACAATCAAGAAATCGACGTGTACTGTCAAATGACGTCAGTCTCAGGATGCAAAGGTGGTGGTTGGACACTGGCGATGAAGATTGACGGAAGCTTGGTAAGCCTTAGCCTATACGATTACGTACCTTAAGGCAGTGTGACAAAGGTTATAGGTAAGCTTGCATGCAGACTTAATCATGGTTATGTCTCTGTGAATCAGGGTATACTTCGAAACCCGGACCAGACACGGACTCGGACTCGGACCCGAACTCGGACTCTAAGAAAATCCGGACTCGAGAAAAACCCGGACCCGGACTCGAAAAAATCCGGACTCATGTTTAAGAAAACCCGGACTTGAGTTTTGAAAACCCGAACTCGAAATAGAAAAAACCGGATTCGAAACAAGGACTCTGTGTACGAGAATGCAAAGGTTTTTTGGAAAGGTTTAATAATAGTTAACATGATAAACGATGATCTATTTATAACAATAATCCGGTATATATCTTTAAATAAATTTCTAGAGTGCTGTTGCACAATCTGGCGTAGTACTGATAAAGAATCTGAGTTGCATCGGTAATATTAAATTTGCGGATTTGTTCTCTCGCGCGCATGTCCCTATCTCTTCCCGCTTTCTATATATAGATATAGATAGAATACTTTATTTGAAAAGCAATAAGCTTGGTTTCGAAAGGTGTAGATCATTTTCTTTTCTAGTGACTCAGTGTTATGTGTTATGTGAGGATACTAATCAGTAATCATACTATGGTTCCTCACAAAATAATCCGCACTATATAGTAAACTTGAACAAATCATTTAGTCACTTGCCACCAAAATGCATTTATGCATGGCTTCCGCGACGGACTAGCTAAATCTACCCTAAACCTAAATTAATAACTAAAATCTGTCTCAGCAGTCAAGAATGTCTTGTCTGGAAACCATCTCGATACACGATTGCTGCAACCATAGCAGACAACGTGATGGCGGCAAGGGTAAAATATACCCCAACACATGTATCAATGGACAGCACACTTGCGAAAAATTTGTCAAAATGACATGAAAAATAACTCGACCGTGTTTTGTGGCTTAGGCCATCATTTCAATGGTAGCAAATCCAATGATAGCTTTCAAAGTCCCGAATATATATATATATACAGTATATATAATGCCAAAAACAAACTCAATAAAAATTATTTCCGTTTTAGCAAAGTCACTTCAACCGATCCGGAAAAGCACATCACATGCTGAAGGCAATGAAGGTGTCGCGGCAATTTGATATTATAAAGTGCTCAGTCAAATATTTGGGCAAGTGACTCTGCTGTAAACACGTTTATTTTCTCAATTTTGTTAAGATAAAGTTTACAAACACGAATTGAACACCCACAATTATTCCTAATCAAAAATAGTAGAAAACACATCACAAAGAAAGCAATCTTAAAGTGGAAACAAAAAAAGGTGTCGCAGCAATGCCGACAGTGAAATTCGCGTTGGGTGAACTGGCATAAATTCAGTGATATTGAGACTCTCTCGTTAGGCGATGCGTTCATCAATTGCCCGAAGTGCCTTCCATACATATAACCGCGGCTCATTTATGCATACGTCTACAAGTAGCTATATCAGTACGAGGGTAGCATGTTGATTCTCAAAATAACTTGATTTATTATCAAACTTCATTGTCAGTATTGAGTCTCACACGTTGTTTGCTATGTTTGCAGCACTTAGTTATTAATGCAGATTTTAGTTATTAATTTAGGTCTAGGGTAGATTTAGCTGTTTAAGTGTCTAAATAATTTTTCATTTCAGGTATATATACTATATAGTGATTATTTTGTGAGGAATCATAGTATGATTACTGATTAGTATCCTCACATAACACATAACACTGAGTCACTAGAAGAAAAAATGATCTACTTGTTTCAAAACCAAGCTTATTGCTTTTGAAATAAAGTATAGTCAGGGGCGGATCTAGGGGTTGTCAAATAAGTCGCGCGACTAACGTAAAAATTGCGCAGATAATTACGGAAACATAAAATTGTCCAGTACTCCAGTTGTAATCCTTCCTGCAGTGATAGCAAATGTAATTGATATTCACAATAGTCCAGTTATCAAGTTTCATTCAGCGGTTGTAAGCTCAGTGGCCTTGACTTACTTGAGGCAGATTCTAGCCATTTGATTGGTCGAGAATGGTTTTGCCTCATCTTCGTGGGGGTCTGCCTTATTTACGTCATCTATGAGGTATCTGATTGGCTGATTGAAGGAGAATTCTGCTCTCTCATTGGTTCAACTTTTTTGCCTCATCTTCGTGGGGGTCTGCTTTATTTGCGCAATATTTGAAGTTCTGATTGGTTGAAAAAGACCAAATTCTCTTCTCTCATTGGCTCATATTTTTTGCTACATCTGACTCATTCGGAAAGTTTATTCACCGCGAAGATTAAATTGACGTACGAGTACGACGACAATATAAAATGTATGTTTAAAAATACTCAGTGGTTCCCGCAATATAAAGTTTATACGAGACTGTCCAGTCTAGAAATGGTAAACACAGATCTTTTAAAGCATATCAATACGACAATACTTCAATACAAGATCGATATATCGAAGAGCTTTTAGCCGCTATTCATATCAAGACCAAGTCTATCCACAATTATATCACCAGAACCAGTCTCGCTAGAGATTTCAATTCGGTGCTCGTCCACCACAATAGAAATGTACAGCGATAAGGTTAGGAGATTATATTTATACTTTAGTTCATAGTCTGGTACTATTAAGTAAGCTTTAAAACCTGCTTAATAATTATAGTGTGCTTATTGACGGCGGTACAAAGATGTGTCTAACCCTAGTTAAAGCTATAAAGTATAAACCGCTTTTGTGTTCGTTTATATTTGTATCGGGCAATATTTAATTGATGTATTAGTAGCGACAGAATCTGGAAATTTTGAGATTGCATGGTGCCATGGTCGTGTGTTATGCTGTACGTGTTGTAATACGATATCTAGAAGTAAGCGGTTTTGTGATTGTTCGTGTAAAATCTTGTTGAGAATTGCCCCCGAGATAATCCTCAACACAATAGTTTCTTTTAGCTTTTATTCAACGCTACGAACTATCCTAATTTCGCAAAATCTCTCACTAAAAAACCTCCCACTATACAATAGCAACAATCAGTGTATTTTGGAACTTTCCGATTCATTACAGTTCTGACTCGCGCGTCCCACGTGTGAACAAAACATTATTTCATACTAAATATATTGATTATTAACAGTTTCCGACAATTCATTTGTTATATAATATGACGTTTTGTTGACAGGAGGGTCAAAAATTTATTTATTAAAAGAACATGCCGATGTGTGAAACAAAATTTCAGACAATCGCGCGACACTACAATATCGTGACAATACAATCGCGTCGGCTGTCGGGCGAACAACGAATAACTTATAATGCTACAACCGCCACAGACAGAAAGTAAAAGCCCCGCTACCATCCTCCCCCCCCCCTGGATGGCAGCAACTCGGAAAAAATTTGACTAACGTACGAAAATTCCTAGATCCGCCCCTGAGTATAGTCTATCTATATCTATATATAGAAAGCGGGAAGAGATAGGGATACCCACAATTATTACCGAGCAACTCAGATTCTTTATCAGATATATACATGATTTATTTAAAGATATATACATCATTATTGTTATAAAGAGATCATCGTTTATCATGCATGTTAACTATTATTAAACCTTTCCAAAAAACCTTTGCATTCTCGTACACAGAGTCCTTGTTTTGAATCCGGTTTTTTCTATTTCGAGTCCGGGTTTTCAAAAGTCAAGTCCGGGTTTTCTTAAACACGAGTCCGGATTTTTTTCGAGTCCGGGTCCGCGTTTTTCTCGAGTCCGGATTTTCTTAGAGTCAGAGTCCGGGTCCGAGTCCGGTCCGGGTTTCGAAGTATGCCGTGAATCAGAGCGCAAATATAATTGTACTGCAGCGATGCCAGTTTCCTGTATACAAATTCCATGATTACCTTCGCGAGGAAGTTCAACCGCGTTTGTCTGTGTGTCTATATGTGTGTCTGTGTGTCTATATGTGTGTCTGTGTATCTATATGTGTGTCTGTGTGTCAGCACGACAACTTAAAAACTATCAAACGTATGAAAATCTTTGGGACTAATGGACGTTGCCCAGGGACAAATTGATAAAATTTTGGTTAAATTTGGATGGAAATTGGATGAGAAATTAGCAAAAGTTTGTCTTGTTTTGCATTGCAGAGTAAACTGTTGTATAATGTATTGTTGTATAATGTATGCATAATACATAACTTAATCCGATGGCGGAGGTACATGTATGTAGTCTCCAAATGCCCTTAACGTATTTGTTTTTATAGAGTACTTTCAAATACAGTTCCTCTTATTGGACGAACAAAAACACTTACAATGACGATGCCCATGGGCGAAACAGCGGTTTAGACAACCGAGAATATAAAGGATCAACTTACTGGAGAACCTCATTTAAAGAAATTTGTGTTGTTATGCAATATGGTGGGATTGGTGGCCATTTAAGAGCATTCTCTTTCTCGTACTCGGCATCATCGCTGTTTGATCTGATCGCAGACGGAAAATATCGACAAACTCGCCTTGGTCGCTCGCAGTGGAAATCATTGATCAGTGGATCATCCTTACAGCGTCATTGTAACCGAGAAGGATTTAACGTGCGAGGTGATTCAAAGCTGTCCAAATATAGAGTAACTGTAAAAGTTCGTTTGGGAATTATTGCAAACCAACAAACTCATTGCGATACGCCCGACTCTTACGTTGGCCTGGGAGCTGAAGGTGGTCTGAATTATCCCTCCGATCCAAACTGGTGCCAGCCGCCAGACAAATCTGTCAATTCCGCGGGTAATCTTGGCCAGTGTAGTCCAGACAACGGAAACAAGAATACCAAAGCCATGACATACATACTGGTTCGTTAAATAACTCAGTGTCGGTCCGATTTATACCAGAGATGTATCATGCGTGAAAACACATCTCTCTCACGAATCACTTATCTTAAGGCCCATTTCCACTCAAGAACAACTTCCACGGACAGAAAATTTTCGAAAAATATCATTGTTTAAAGTTGAAAACTTTCAACTTCGGCCAATCTCATTTTACAAAATTTTCTTTCTGGGAAAATTTTCCTGAGTGGAAATGGACCTTTAAGACCATGTTACACGTGTAGGATTTCTTGCCGCAATTTGCAATGTAGTTTCGATGCATGTTAACTAAAAAATCAGTTGCAGGGAAATTGTGAGCACTGCATGGCCTGTACGGTTTATTCTGTGACATTTTCATATATTTCTTTCCTGGTTTTGTGAACAAATCATGCCTGATATTCTCCTGATAGCTGGTCTGATGATGCCGTTGAAATATCAAGAACAATCTTAATTTTTTTCGCTCGCAAACATTCGACAGGCGTCAACTCAAACGCATTGGCCGTCTCTAGCATAAATCGGGTCATTCACATTTGATAAGATTCATTTCACATAATCACAATATGGCTTATTAGTATAGTAAAGGAACTAGATTAAATCTTGAATGTTAGGGGATTATATAATTATATAGTGGCATAATAGCACGATATTAATTTTACTTTATACGTTGATGATCGTCGTATATATACTAGCTTGCTTTACTTTAATCAACATTTTTTAATTATCAGAATTGCATGGTTAAAAACGTCGCATTGCGAAATGCAATCATGCAAGGTTGGTACGCAATCATGCAAGGTTGGTTTATGTAATCCAAATTAAAGTGTAGGAACATGTAATCCAAATGAGATAATCTTAATTAAACCAATTTGTCGATCAACTAGTGTGCTGAAATTATTAAAAATAATTCACGTTCACTGAAACAAGAAAGATATTAATCCTTTTAAAAATAAACGTTGTCTAATTAAGTCGAGAAAATAAAATATATATATTTATTATATAGTTTTGAAAATGAGATACTGAAAAATACGCAGTGACATATTTTCCATATCTTCACTAGTGAGGATATCGATCACGTGACTTTTAGTATTTATACAATTTTTTGCTTGGGACTATATAATAAACAGAACAGAACAGTACACGTTGGCTGAAGATATGACTTTTATCTTCTTGTGTTAAAAACAGTATTTTACTCACTCGCTGCGCTCGTTCGTAAAATATTGTTTTCACCACTCGAAGATCAAGTCATATCTTCGCACCGCCGTGTATATAATATCCTATATATATATATATATATATATATATATATATATATATATATATATATATATATATATATATATATATATATATATATATATATATATATATATATATATATATATATATATATATAGGATATTATATATAAATATATATATATATATATATATATATATAGGATATTATATATAAATATATATATATATATATATATATATATAAATATATTTATATATAAATATATATATATATATATATATATATATATATATATATATATATATATATATATATATATATATATATATATATATATATCTCGTGTTGAAATCTCGTGTTGAAAACAATATTTTACTCACTCGCTGCGCTCGTTCATAAAATATTGTTTTCACCACTCGAAAATAAAAGTCATATTTCCGTGCCACCGTGAAATATCCTATATGTATTGCAATTGTCTAGGACTAGAGAGTAGAGCCCAATATCAGCAAATGTAAACATTTGATACTAGCCAAACAGAAAAATTTCTGTCAGTGATTCATCTTTAAAATTTTGGATTTAGTACATAATTCGTATTCATTAATTATAGTAAAGCTTTAGCCTTTTTCTTGGTCAGATAATGTTTTCCTAATATGCACACAACTAGGCTATAATCTACATCACAAATTTACAGTGTCAGACGCGTGAGACGCTGACGCGCACAGACTGCCATACGAATACACATAAATTTTCGAGTTTTCTACTTCTACTAAGGCTACTAACAGTTTTCATTGTGTCTCAATCATCTGTTTATTTCTAGTTCAATAAGTCCATTTATATTTCTATAGTTATTTGATAGTGGCATATATCACTAGTGATACATGTAGGCCATTTACACACAAGCAAATGAATCCTGGATATGATAGAGACGATACAACTACAAGCTGTCCATTAAAAAATAACGGTATTCTATTTCACAAAGCAAAAAATTTAAATCTCACTTGTATTATTAAGAATATATATAAAGCAGAAAATTAAAGATTGTGTCAAAACGAAAGCTGTTTATAAAATTTATAAATGTGGTATAAACACAGTAGTAAACAGTAAGACAAATATATTGACGTTTGACTTATCTTTGATGTATGACTTTACTGTAATACCGTAGATTTTCAACAGCAGCTAGCTAGACTTTGACATATACCATGATCGTTGAGATCTTGCAGGAAATTTTATAGTCTTTTGACGGGATTTAAGTTTCGTGATAAGGCCTTTTATATAATCAACAATCTCGATACAGTTGGCGTCTTGGTGATATTTCGGAATTCAAAAGATCTCGCTATTTCGTTCCAATTCCACGTCTCATTAATAAATATATTCTTTTGGTCCGAGTATCAGGACATACTTTAATACTAAGCACCGCCCAGGCGTGCTTTCTTTGTCAAGTCTATAAGTTGAAATCTGATCGAACTTGCTTGAATTGTAACTCGACACTAGATTATAGAGTAGAAAGTCACATCACGATAAATATGAATTTTTAATTGCAGTTCTCTTCACGATTTCTTGTTGCAAATTTAAATTTCATCACACAAAATTGCAAATATTGTTACAAACGCGACAAACACGCTCCTCTCCCACCCTGCCCATAGTATCATTTTAATTTATCACCCAGAATCTGGGTGACACGTAACCAGCCGAAACCAGGGTCTTTCCTTCGCCTCGCGCCGTTCTAAGAAAGACCTTGGGAACGAGGTTGTGTTCATAAATGTTTCGGCTAATGTTGTCAATCTCGTGAATGTTTCACAGTTCCAGCTTTTCGATGAAAGCGTTAGCCATTGCTGTAATATGTAAATTATCCCGGTTTGTTCAGCCACATAGTTTACCATTATATTGTACGTATAGTATTTGATGATAATCCATATTCTTGCCTTCGCATTCTAAAGTTGTATATCTTGAACAAGAGAAAATATAACTCATTCACCAAAAAGTATTCTCACTTTAATAGACGATGGAGTGACATATCCATTATTCACCATATAGCTTTTATGTTTACTGTAAAATTACAATACCAGGAATAAAAATATTACTTAAAATATCTTCATTGTTCATAAATGTTTCTGCTAATGTTGTCAATCTCGTGAATGTTTCACAGTTCCAGCTTTTCGATGAAAGCGTTAGCCATTGCTGTAATATCTAAATTATCCCGGTTTGTTCAGCCACATAGTTTACCATTATATTGTACGTATAGTATTTGATGATCATCCATATTCTTGCCTTCGCATTCTAAAGTTGTATATCTTGAACAAGAGAAAATATAACTCATTCGCCAGAAAGTATTCTCACTTTAATAGACGATGGAGTGACGTCGACATATCCATGATCCACACATATATATACCCTGGTAGAAATCTTAATTAAGATCTTAGGTAAGATCTTATTAAGATCTTAATTAGGATCTTGTTAAGATCTTAATGTAAGATCCTATAAGATCTTATAGGATCTTGTAAGATCTTATTTAAGATCTTGTAAGATCCTAATTAGGATCCTATAGGATCCTGTAAGATCTTAAATTAAAGGATCTTAAATAAGATCTTATATAAATCTTAAAGGAACTTAAGAGGCTGTCTCCGTAAAAACCTCCAGGTCAATATGGGGCTCAAAAATAGATTTCTCTCATACTCTAGTATTTTGAAGATCTATCCTTGGGAACAACTAAAATCGATGTCATTTCACTCAAATTTCCTTTAAATTATTTTTGGGGGCGATTGATGTTCGATCGACTGGTAACCAACTTGATACTCCGAATGAAGGCCAAATATCGACATATTTTCAGCGCTATTTTTCAAATCAAATTCATACCTAAATTTCAAAATTTTTGCTCAGAAATATAGATTTATCCTTTTATTTTCGTCGGTGATACAACTTAGATCATTATTCTTTGGTATAAAATAGAAAACAGCGCAGTTATTGACCCTCCCGAACGGATAAAGGATATCGTCTCAAAATATGTCAACTTCGAAAGCTTATTTCAAAATCGTGGCACTTGATTGGCACATGACTTTAACTTTTCTATAAACTACTAACATTAGTCAACACAAATCGCCAATAATATCTTTCTGCTCTACCATTTGACAAAAATGACAAGCGCGCAAACTTTGTAAAATTTGAAAATGTGTCGAAATCGAGCATACTTTATTGGTAAACATAATTATTGATATTAACAGATAAAATCACCTTACACTACACTGAATGAAGCTTCATTATGTAAATACATGTCTTTCATCATTATTCTTTGGTTTGGCGCTTGAATCAAATTGTTTGAGTACAGTTTGGCTTCACGGATAGAGTCATTCAATGCCAGTGTGTCCAGTGTCTTCTGCGCGCCTCAATACCACGAGTCCTGATTGTGACATACTATACAATCTTCGCCCTGTTCGCTTTGTTTACCTCTTTAACAAATACATGTTTAACAAATAACAATATTCAATGAAATTGGAAAACTCAGAATTAGTCATACTACAGACAGAATTTTCATCGTTTTTAAACTGTTTTATAAAAGTTTCGTTAGAATGTACGAATTAAATCTCGGGGAAAACCCCGGGCAATGATGTCAAATGTCAATATTTCGTTAGTTTCGCTCAGTATAGTTTTCTAGCAACTGAATTGTCTCTAGGTTTAGAAACAATTATCAATGAAACTAGAATTCAAGTAAGTCACGGTTCTGTATAAAAAATCAACTTTTTCAGGCCGACCCTGGGTCACTTTGCTCAAGGCTATGCTTCAAGAATTTACATTATTTCTTATTGTATAAAAATATGCGAATATTTTGATATAATACAAAACAATTCAGCGCAAACAGCTGTAACCCATTTGAACGTCTCAGTTATTTAATCAATGTTATTCCTTTTTTCAGTAACAATTAGAAAGGTTCTGAAAATTAGAATTAATTTATATTCTTCTTTCCGACAAGCTTTAAAGGGTGACAAATTTGCAAGTGATAACTAATGTCATTCTTACACGCCAGCAACTTCGAAGAACAGTCTACTGTGTCTCGGAATTTTCCACACTCAGAAGTAGAAAAGGAACATTTCTACATTATTGTTTACCGTCATTCTCATCTGTCAACATAAAATCTACTGTCTGTCGAAATCGTTTAAGGCCCTGTCACACTATTGCGTATCGTACTAGCGTATGCCAGCGTATGAAAAATATCACTCATACGCCGGTATACGCTGACATACGCTAGGGGTACGCTAGGCATAGGTTGTATACGTTTCAAGCACGGTCGCATACGGTGGCATACGGCGAGGCAGAAAATTTTTTTAAGCATGTTCAAAAATTTTGTGCGTATCGGACGTATGCTTTATACGATAAACATACTCTAGGCACACGCTCAATACGCTAGAGGTACGCCAGATGTACGGTACTCATACGCTGGCATTGCAAAGGATTTTTGTGCGTATGAAAATTATTTCATTGATTTTCATACGCTTCTCATACGTTTCTCTCATACGCATTAGTGTGACAGGGCCTTTAGGTTTACCTAATCTAGCGTATGCCAGCGTATGAAAAATATCACTCATACGCCGGTATACCGTATACGCTGACATACGCTAGGGGTACGCTAGGCATAGGTTATATACGTTTCAAGCACGGTTGCATGCATACGGTTGCATACGCTGGCATACGCCAAGGCAGAATTTTTTTTTTAAGCATGTTCAAAAATTTTGTGCGTATTGGACGTATGCTTTATAAGATAAGCATACTTTAGGCACACGCTGAATACGCTAGAGGTACGCCAGATGTACGGTACTCATACGCTGGCATTTCAAAGGATTTTTGTGCGTATGAAAATGATTTCATTAATTTTCATACGGTTCTCATACGTTTCTCTCATACGCAATAGTGTGACAGGGCCTTGCATGATCACAAATTGCGGCTGTAGTAGAAGTAGAACACCATTATTGTAAACACAAAAACCTCGTGCAATACTGTCTAAGACTACTATTTAATTCAATACAAAGAAAGGGAAATCAGAGAGCAACGAAACATTTCATCGTCATTTGATTGACATGTTTACGCTCAGCGAGTACATTTCTTTCGGTTAGGAGTTTTCCCCGAGATTAATTCGTACATTCTATAAAACGAAACTTTATATAACAGTTTAAGGTAAACAAACCAATGAAAGTTATGTCTGTAGTATGACTAATTCTGAATTTTCTAATTTCTTTGAGACATTTTATTTACAGGAGGTAAACAAAGCGAACAGAGCGAAGTTCGTATGTCACAATCAGGACTGATGCCGTCATGGCATTGAGGCGCGCAGAATTCGAACACACTGGACACACTGGCATTGAATGACTATCCTTGAAGCCAAACTGTACAGTCAAACAATTTCATTCGAGTGCAAAACCAAAGAATAATGATGAAAGACATATATTTACATAATCAAGCTTCATTCAGTGTAGTGTAAGGTGGTTTTATTTGTTAATATCAAGAATTATGTTTACCGATAAAGTATGCTCGATTTCGACACATTTTCAAATTTTACAAAGTTTGCGCGCTTGTCATTTTTGTCAAATGGTAGAGCAGAAAGATATTATTGGCGATTTGTGTTGACTAATGTTAGTAGTTTATAGAAAAGTTAAAGTCATGTGCCAATCAAGTGCCACGATTTTGAAATAAGCTTTCGAAGTTGACATATTTTGAGACGATATCCTTTATCCGTTCAGGAGGGTCAATAACTGCGCTGTTTTCTATTTTATACCAAAGAATAATGATCTAAGTCATATCACCCGCGAAAATAGAAGGATAAGTCTATATTTCTGAGCAAAAATTTTGAAATTTACGTATGAATTTGATTTAAAAAATAGCGCTGAAAATATGTCGATATTTGACCTTCATTCGGAGTATCAAGTTGGTTACCAGTCGATCGAACATCAATCGCCCCCAAAAATAATTTAAAGGAAATTTGAGTAAAATGACATCGATTTTAGTTGTTCCCAAGGATAGATCTTCAAAATACTAGAGTTTGAGAGAAATCTATTTTTGAGCCCCATACTGACCTGGAGGTTTTTACGGAGACAGCCTCTTAAGTAAGATCTTAAAGGATCCTAAATAAGATCTTACATAAATCTTAAAGGATCCTATAAGATCTTACATAAATCTTAAAAGATCCTATAAGATCTTACATAAATCTTATAAGATCTTACATAAATCTTCATCAATCTTAAAAGATCCTATAAGATCTTACACCAATCTTAAAGGATCCTATAAGATCTTACATAAATCTTAAAAGATCCTATAAGATCTTACATAAATCTTAAAAGATCCTATAAGATCTTACATAAATCTTAAAAGATCCTATAAGATCTTACATCAATCTTAAAAGATCCTATAAGATCTTACATCAATCTTAAAAGATCCTATAAGATCTTACATCAATCTTAAAGGATCCTATAAGATCTTACATAAATCTTCATCAATCTTAAAAGATCCTATAAGATCTTACATCAATCTTGAAGGATCCTATAAGATCTTACTAAGATACTCAGATGTACACAACAATTTGGTTAAAAATGAATTTATTACAAATTAAATTATGATTATTTTGAGAGTTTAACCCATTAAGCTGCAGAGCTTCTAAATTGACAAGTAAAATTGTCTGGCGTTAGACAAGTAAAAAATAAGTAGCGTGCACTGGGGCACATTACAGCTCAATGGGTTAACTAGAGACATTGTCAGATTTTTTGGTTAACCCACTAAGCTGCAGAGCTTCCCCATTGTCGAGTAAAATCGTCTGGCGTTAGACAAGTAAAAAAATAGGGCACACTGGGGTGCATTGCGGCTCAATGGGTAAAAACTATAGTCTATATTACATGTTTTGATTCAATTGAATCATTTCAACATAGTTTATATCAGTCACTGTAATCCAAATTAAAGTTCATGTTACCAGATGTACGGGTGATTTGAAACGAATAGTCTTTGTTGAATGGCATTTTGACACAGTCGAATAAGAACACATCACTATATTGTAGCACACAAAATCCACAAATGTTTTGCTGTAACTGTCCTTTGTTAAACATTAATAGCCAAGATGTTCCCTTGAAAAGATAATTATTTTGCATGAGAGAATATTATAAAGAGTGCACTGGATGTCTTATGGGCTTTTGAGGCTGATGAGGAAGTATCATACTTATACTAACAGTAGATAGAGCAAACCCAATCTAATCTGTTGTTGGTGACGGTTAATTATTTGAGATTTGGGCAGAAAGTTTGACTAAAGTATCAACCGATAACTGTTTTTTAGGGCAAGTCGAGTGATTTCTTGCATACTGCGATTTAACAAGGTACAATTGGCAGAGAAACTGGTTATAACCAGAGTGGCAGGGAAATATTAACTTAACATACACCTCTAAAGTTGTAATAACTTACAATATGAAGTAACTGAAGCACATAAATTAAACCTGTTCTTGCTGTATGTCTCAGTGTCTGTTGTATACAATGCTGCACCAGCTTTTCCCTTGAACATGCCTTCCTGTGCCAATTTGTACAGTAATTTTCTGTGGTGAGTAATTGCTACAAAATGAAAATTGGGATTATTCTACAGTCCAAGTTAATTTGTAGATAATCCTACTATTACCCAAAAACCTCATTAGCCAGACTCATTATTTTTATTAAAGTTATACACAAGTTTGTCTTTTTTAAACATTTTTCTTAATCACAATGAAAGCTACCTGTGGGAAATACCTGGTCACCAGATTATCTCGCTATCCTGCTTGGATATGACCAACCACAGGTACATTTAGTAAGAATGCCATTCTATCATCTGTGGGTAGTTGGTACAACACTACAATGAGCTAACTCTGGTATCTGGGCTGCCTCGGTTCGATATAAACACACAACTTGACTCATAAACATTTACTAATGCCATGTTAGGGTCTGCATACTACTTAGCATATTGGGCTATTTCTTCAGGGCAATCAGGGGTACACTATATTTCCTCAAGGGTACACTATAATTTCCTCAGGGGTCAGTGTTTTGAGCTTGGAATTACTCATAACTATGAGAAACATATATCCTGAATGTATTCAGGGTATTCAGCAACATGTGTATTTAGGGGTTGTCTGGATAATAAATGGACATATAGCTCTGTAATATGATAGCATAATATAGATAAAACAAAGGAAGGATTCTTCTCCTCTCATACAAAGCAATAGAACTTTCTTTGGCGATTATACCAATATTAGCTAAATGAGTCAGTATTGATATCCTCTCAATACATCAATATAAACAATATTCATACCTTCTTGAATCTTGACAGCTGTAGCCTGTAAATATTCTAGTTTGTTGTCGTTTTATATATCATGATTTCGACAGTTTGACTTGCTTGGATCACAATGTTATGACAGTATTTATTGCTTGTAATTATAATCTGTAAATACAAAGCAATATCACAAAGATTTAATGTATTTTAATAACAATGTATTATTGAACCCAACACAAAATAAAATGCGACCAACGGCACAGGCGCGGTTAATAAAAAATATACATGAATACAACTATTTATGGCACATATTTACACACGAAACTTCAAAATATTGACATAGTTGAACACTTACATTTAAAATTATTGTGTGAATCTTCAAAAATTGGATTATTTCTTCTTATTTTCTTCAATATTTTAAGAAAATTTGGCCATTATCAACCGACGTTTAAAATAAAATTTCCAAACGACGCGCTCGAAGTCGAAATGTGCCCGCTAAGCCTTCTGGGAGCCCATATATGGCAACGCGATTGACTGAAGGCACTGATCTCAATCATGTGAACAATCCAGTCTGTATTAGTGTATCAGTGGAGTATTACGGCTTTTTCGAGTTTATTTCGACAGAAACTCTTAATTCCATCTTCAAAATTCTAGCTGTCTTATTATATCTTGCTTACACGACAATAATCAAAGCATTTACGACGCAATATAAGGTCATGGACCTTGTTAAGATCCTGCGAAAATCTTGTAGGAAATTGTTAAGATCCTGAGTGAATCTTGTAGGAAATTGTTAAGATCCTGCGAAAATCTTGTAGGAAATTGTTAAGATCCTGCGGTAATCGATCTTGTAGGAAATTGTTAAGATCCTGCGAAAATCTTGTAGGAAATTGTTAAGATCCACAGCCAAGTCTTTCGGGTATCTTGGTAAAGATGTTACAAGTTCTGTGACATTTTGTGGCAAGTTAATACAGTGCCCTGAATAACCTCGTTGCCCACCTGGTTTAATATAAATTCTCATGATAGGAAGAGCACGAGCAATTAACATTTCCTCAACCTGATTTAAGTCTTTTAATTCATTTGGAACAGGTGAAGGTATCATTGAGTTTTCAGAAGAAAATTTTTGGGGAGATTTTTTATCTCTACAGCATCGTGAACACACAAAAGGTGACCTTGGTTTAGATTTCAAAGGCCATGCCTCCTTACGAACTGTGCACTGACTGACAATATATTGCACAGACTTATGAAATTTATTAATGTTAGCTTTTGCCCAACATTGCTTTTCAATACCACCATTTCGGGTGCTGTCAAACATATTTAAATAACCTTGAATTGGCTTGTTTCACATTGAGGCTGTGATACTCTTTGTCCACGCTTTTGTTTTTGATAAAGTCTATCTTTCTCAAGTCGCAATTGTCTCTCACTGTCAGTTTCCTCTGACTGCTTTCTTTTTTTGGACTCCTTAACTTTCTGAAGCCTATTTCGCCTATCACTTTCAGTTTCCTCTGCTGCTTTCTCTTTTTAAACTTCTTAGCTTTCTGAAGCCTAATTTGTCTATCACTGTCAGTTTCTTCTGACCGCTTTCTTTTCTTAGACTCACTACCCCTTTGAAGTCTAATTTGTCTGTTGTAATCATTTTCATCTGAATGCTTTTGTTTTCTAGACTGTTTAGCTTTAGAAAGTCTAGCTTTTCTTTCACTGTTAGTCTCAGAAGTTATTAATTGCACAGGTACAATCTCAAATAAATTGGTATGTAATTCCATTGACAGAAAATAAAAATGTTGCTCTAAATCTAAAATATCATTAAACTTCATGACAACAGCTGTGCCATTAGGATTAGGCATGCCATTGGAGTCTCTGGCATGAGAGTCAAATAAGAAGAAAGTATTCATTTGCTTTATTAAGGCCATCATATAACCTTCTAATATCAAAATGGCACAACCATTTTTCAAAAAAGTATTCAAAAGTGCTGTGTGAATATCATAGTAGTGCGAATCAATTTCTCGGTCAGTTATGACAAGGCCTTGAAGCTCTTTTCCATATTTTATAAACCAAACTTGATTTTCATTTTCTACCTGATTGGGCTCAAAAAGCGGACCCGCAATGGGTACACCATTGTTGTTTTGTGCCTCAAAAGGGAGATCAATGCTATTTTGTTTCTCAACAGGCTCCACCACAATGGGCAGATCAATGTTATTTTGTGCCTCAACGGGCTCAACCACAATGTGCAGATCAATGTTATTTTGTGCCTCAACGGGCTCCACCACAATGGGCAGATTAATGTTTATATTTTGTGCCTCAACGGGCTCCACCACAATGGGTAGATTAATGTTTATATTTTGTGCCTCAATGGGCTCCACCACAATGGGTAGATTAATGTTTATAGTTTGTGCCTCAACGGGCTCCACCACAATGGGTAGATTAATGTTTATATTCTGTGCCTCAACCAGCACACCAATGTTATTTTGTACCTTGATGGGCATATCAATGTTCTTTTGTTCCTGAGAGGACTCTATAACAGGCAGATCACTATTTTCAGTATTTGGTGTCACCATCACAGGTGATGTTGTTTTTCCTTGAACAGGCGTTTCACAAACTGACACAGCTCGTATGAAAGCTCGTTTTTACTACACAGAACACTCACAACTGTTGGTAAATTAGCTATAGACAAAAACTCTACACCTGGGTCTAAAACAATTAAGCCACTATTCAGAGCTTTTAAGTACATTTTGTCCCCTTGTAATAAGACATTATTAATTGTCGTTGTTGACCAATCGATCAGTGGTGTATTTTGGGCTGTTAAAACTGCTGACAAACTCATGAAAGCACATTGCTTTCCTCTAGATTGAACACTAAAAATTTCGTCACCTTGATGTATATTAGAAGAAAGAAATAAAGTCATACTTACTTGATTTCTTGAAATATTTTTCTTGACTCTTGAAGTCTTGAACACAGAGAGCACATGGAAGCCATTCAGCAATACAAAATCTTGTTCGACTGCCCCTTCATTTTACAAACGTACCTGAAGCTGTGCATCCCCCGGAAAATGGACAGACATCTTACCCGACGCAAGATCGAGATTTCGACAATACATAGATCGCGCGAAAGACTGGGCCTAGTGGACTCTGGAGAAACTATAACTCGGCCAATGGAATGGGCACGAAAAACGCAGTGACGTCAAGATTAGTGTGCTGCCTCCCTAAGGGGAGGCAGCAATTAGAGGAATTAGCAAAAATTGACTATATTCATGACGCGCTTGTCAGACGAAAAACACACTGCCCAAAGATTTTATTATTTATTCTAGTAGATGTGTCATAATACTCAGTAGCTGCAATAGATTGGATACCTGATACCGTTGCACTTTTGAGAAAAAAATATTTTACCGCCAGCACGCTAACACGAATATTTAATCTGCTGTCTCAAAGACGTTTTTAAAAATACACAATATTGTGTTTGCTTCAAGTGATCAGGATAAGTTTTGGTTTAGGTTTATGCCTAGGCAGGAAATAATAAAATATGTAAGTTTCAAGAAGTTAGAATAAAAGCGCGAGATGAACTGTGAGATATAAAAGCTCAAATATCACTTGCGTAATTAACGTTTTAACTTGTTTTCGAACGCGTCCAAAAATAATTGCGAAAAAATTTTTAACACTGACTACAATTTCAAACTCGACGTTTTTTGTTCATTTTATGAATGACTTCTTCCACACAGAAAGTTTGAAGGAAATCTATAATCTTAAGAAATTCGAGTGGTCGGTTTTTACACGGACTGCCTCTTAAACTCAGCCGAATTAAACAGGTTTAACTTTGGATATTGCAACTAAACTGTTCGGTTTAAACCACAAAACAGACTATACACGACTTCATGGCGGTATTCTTGACCGTTTCTCTTCCGTACTTCTAGTGTTAATCGGCTAAATCAGTGCTTAATTTCGTCAACGCTCATCTCCAGCAAATCTGGCACACGCTTGAATACTTCACTCTCGGCTTCAAAATCACGAAACTCGGTATTTCTTGCCTTTGCCCATCCACCTAGTGTGTTTGATAGTATTCTCAGGCGTCCTGTTATCTCTAACTTTCTGAACATCGGCTTCCATAACAAACGAGAAACGTTTATCCGCCATATCATTCTTAGTGCATGAGCGTCCAAAAACAAGACTTGAGTTGAGTTAAAAAGTAACTCATCTTATATGCATGCATGCATGCACATGCACCCGGCACTGACACACGTATATTAAGAATTGTTTATTCCAAAACGAATTGCCGACAATGAAAATTGTTGTATACATCACTGATCATGCATTGTATTAAACAATACTCGTACTATCAATTAATTTTGTACAATGAAAACACTAGCCTCACCTCGGTCATCATGGTATTACAAACTAATACCATGGTGTTTAAGAATATAGTGATTAAATCTCCCGCGAACCATATATATATGGAGAGAATGGCAGAGCGGGGGGCGGGGGTGATGGGAGTACTCGAGTATTGTCCACGTTTTACGAGAAATAGTAAAATATAATAAATACATAGTGACGTGTGCAGTAACATGTACATTTAAAATTTGTTTATTTTATATCTCACACTGTTCCTTCTATAATAATTATCACGATTTACTGTTACAACGAAATAAGCGCTACTCTGTTACACAAGGGCGTACCGAAAGGGGGATGTGGGTGTGTACCCCTCCCCTCCGCCAAACTTTTTAGGAGAAACCGTGACCTCACTGTTAATTCTAGGGAGTAATTTTGACTCCACCGTAAGAGTTGAAATAACTCCCTTTTGGGGAGTAAAAAAATTAGAGTATATTTCACTCCAAAACCAGAGTTCAAACTACTCCACTTCAGTTCACATAAAACTTTTACTCTACTAAGAGTAAATATTACTCCATTGCAGGGATAAAATATACTCCAGCAAAGGAGTACAAATATTCAAGTACTTTTTACTCCTTTATTTTTACTCCAGGAGTAACTTCAACTCCAATCTTACTGCTCTAGGAGTCAATCCAACTCTCATAAAAGAGTAGAATTTACTCTTTAAAAGGGATAGATATGGGGCGCCGAACTAGTCAATATTGCAATTGAATATATTTGGTACGTTCGACTTTATGTTTGGCCGACAACTTTTTTCTTTTTGCCATTTTCTGTTTTTTTCGGGGGGGGGTATTTTTTATATGGCCTATTCAAGTTTTTGTAACTTCATCTATTTTCTATATGCTCAACGCGACTTTTTATATGGTCAAGGTTTTTTTATATGGTCAACGACTTTTTATATGGTCAACGACTTTTTATATGGTCAACGACTTTTTATATGGTCAACAACTTTTTATCTGCTCAACGACTTTTCATATGCTCAACGACTTTTTATATGCTCAACGACTTTTTATATGCTCAATGACATTTTCTCCGGTATAAAAAGTCAATAAAAGTTTGATACTTCGATTGTCGCCGCAAACGCAACCAAAGATGGCAGGAAGAAACTTCGAAGATATTTCATCGGCTTGCGAAGTTGCTGCACAAGCACTACAAGCTATTGGCAATTTAAGAAATCCTGATATTCGAAATTTAGCAGAATCAACTGCTTCAAACAGCAGTGCAAGTAATTCAAATATGTCGACTACTTCTGGTGGAAATATCTCGGTATTTGCAGCTGAGCTCGGACAGAGATTTCCCACATTTAATGCTTGCATTAATAATACACGAGGCAGAGAAAGTCACAATTCTTCTAGTCGCAGTACAGTTAAAAAGAACTCCAAAAAGCGGAAGTCCAATGATAACACTCAAGATGCATCGAGTGGATCTGGAACAAAGATTGGGCGACCTTCGAAGTCTGTTATTCACAAAGACTTATAGTTATTATACCGAATCCTGACACCAAACAAGTGCCAAGTCACTCCAACAAAGTCAAGCAGGTCACAGTTTTAAATAGCTTTATTTTCTTAACAACTTCAACATATTAAAGAAACATTTGTTTTACAAACAATACCCGGAAAGCATGCTTTTTCCAGGAAAAAACACTCGCATCGCGCGGGACTATCACGCGTCCGTATTTTAATAACATACCTAATCTATTCTCGACAATTTGTTAAGCCCCATGAACTTTGCACTATTCTGGCATAGTACATAACATGGACTGGACTGGAACAGTGACTCGATGTTTTCACTCCGCAAAAAATAATTTCCTTCCCCATAACCTGAAATTTCCTTTTCACATGCAAAATTTCCTGCCAAAAATCTCTAAATATCCTTCTATTTCCCTTCCAAATTTTTATCAAAATTGACAGATTTACCTTGGTAATTAACATCTAAAGATGGAAAATCGGAGAACACTATTGAATTCGCCATAAAAATCAGCATCTTTTCACAGTAAATATATCTCGAGTCAATTTAATAAAGAAAACTTTTTATCGCGTGTTTACTTCCCAGCTGACAATAGAAATAAACTACGGATGTAACCAAGGGATACACGAGCACTTTAACGGATAACCATTTTACTGATTCATTATTATCATAAGATAACCACGGATGTCCTCAGTTAATAATGAATTCAAGATGGAGTCGGGCAAATGCGCATTCTTCATTTCCTCGATTTTAGCCGCATGTGTGGAACTTGCACATGGATTTTAGTATTTTACTGTTAGTCTAGAAACGCTTGTTCGCCACCACAGCAACCTAAAATATATTGTATTTATTGTATTTTTGTGAATTATGATAAAAACAATAAATATTTGGGTAGTTTTATCGTAATTCATAAAAATACAATAAATACAATATATTTTAGGTTGCTGTGGTGGCGAACAAACGTTTCGTTAAAATATTCACCCCCCTGTCTGTGTCCACGAGAAGTTTTCGCGAAGATTGCGCGTGACTTTCAAATGCTTTGTATTTTATTTTGAACCTAAATGGTTACCTGGAGGGTTTGGCCATCAAAACCCAACAAATGTTTTCATTTTTTCGATTGGGACTATTCTACAATGGATACTGTATTGGATACTGTAGTCTAAACACATAGGAAGACGAAGAAGTGGCATTTATCGGACAGAGAAGCGGTGAGCCATTAAAATGGCGGCTATTTGACGGAATATCGAAGGACACAATATCGAAGATAAAATATACTGCACTGTTACAAAACTTCATTAAACTTCGTCGAAATCGTCTTTAGCCATCTATCATTATGTAAAAGTACAACAACTGGATGATATCTGCGAGACTCGGCGATAAAAAGCAAACAAAACGGCAAAGTATGGCTGAAATGGTGTTTTCATGGGGGTGAGTGAATTAAAATGTATTATATTTAAAGAAAACAATGACAATCCTTATGAAAACTACAATAATTATATTAAATTAAGCATAGTTTTTCATTCCATGATAATTTCTTTAGGAAATAAGAACATTAAATTTCTGCCAGGCATATTAGTTATTTTGTGCATAATAAGCAATTTACCTGGGGTGGTGCATAGTCATTTTCTGGTAAAATATTATACTTAGACAAATTTTTCCTTCCAATGACCACCCCTAAAAGCAACCCTTCTAAACACTATAAGCACTTCAGAAAGGCTGTCGCTTTTGCTTTTCGGAAGTTAGAGCTATGTCGGCACTGCAGTTTCAGGGCGGGGTCACTTTCAGGACTTTCGCCCCGGATTCAGGTTTTGGCACATATGCTATGTTGACCGCCATGGTCATTTTACCCTAAAACAGTTGAGATTACCTGTGGTAAATGAAACGCATACAAACATCTATACAGGTCCTAGACTATGTAGCTGAGCTTTTTCACAAAATTAATTGATATATTTTAATATTATTCCTTGCCTCAAGTAGAAATTAATGAAACTGTGGTTCACTCCGTGGTGGTGGAATCGAAACTAAGTTTTTAAAATCAGTTTTCATCGTAAACAAGTTAGGATCCTGGTTTCTTCAACTATTGGTCCTGGATACACTTTTATACAATCTTATATGTTGTAAATTCTGTTATGCACAGCTTTTATTGAGGTTTAATAGTTTTAGCATTGTCATATCAAACAAAAAGTCAAAAAAAAAAAAAACCCAAAAAAATCTAATGAAAGTTTGAAATGTAAATAGAGCTTAATAAGAAGATGTGTACTTTATACATTGAGACTTTGTCTTTGATATTCTGTAATCAGTGTGACCACGTTTTTTCAGGGCAAATTACCACATCCGTTTTCAAAAATTACTATTTTCGGTCTAAAATTACGGTGTCCAATCAAAACGTCCCCAGGTCAAAACGTCCCCAACTTTCCGCAGTCATAACGTCCCCAGGCCAAAACGTCCCCAGGCCAAAACGTCCCCAGGCCAAAACGTCCCCAGGTCAAGACGTCCCCAGGTCAAGTATGGAATTAATTATACGCCAAACGTCAACTTCAAACGACAAATCTTAATTTACTGCTTTGGTGAATACATGTCTAGTGGTTAATTTGCTTTCTTAAATGATCATTCCTAAAGAGCACAAGTTTAATAATTGTTAAAAAGTGTAACATATTTCAAAACTGGTGTTAAAGATATAATAATAATAGAGTAAAATAAAAAGTAATGCATTCCAACCATATGAGCGATTATATATACAGTGTATAGGTAAGTAAAATGCATAGAAAAAAGTGGGGTTTTTTCTGAAATAACCACTAATTTGATTTTGTTTTCGAACAATCGTTTTGACCTGGGGACGTTTTGACCTGGGGACGTTTTGACTTGAGTTGGGGACGTTTTGACCTGGGGACGTTTTGACCTGGGGACGTTTTGACTGGAAAGCAAAATTACCACGGTGGGGAGTGGGGGGGGAGGTAAAAAATTTTTCCGGAGAAAAAAAATTTTAAATTAGGGTCAAAAAAATTTTCGGACAAATAATAAGTAAAACAAGCCCAAAATCAGTTTTTTTCAACCTAAAACAAGGACAGAACCAGTTTTTTTTTCACCAAAATCTCTACAATTTTGGCTTTTCCACCAAAATCTGTCAGGAAATTTTAAATTACCACAATCGGCCAAAATTGACGAAAAATTACCACAGTTGTTCTGAAATTACTGTAGTAATTACCACAAATTTCCAATTACCACAATCATCCAAAAATGAGGACGAATTACCACGGTAGTAATGAACTTACCACATCTGGTCACACTGTCTGTAATGTATTGATCAATTTGAAACTTCAGCATCCCCCCCCCTCGGGCAGGAATTTGACTTCAGTCTTTTCCAGGGAGTAGGGTCTGTAGGGAATTTGACGTTCTAAATTTTCCATTTAGTGGTGCATTTGATATTAAGGGTGGGGAATTTGAACCGGAAGTCTTAAAATTTTACCCATTTCTGTGTGCTTTCTGCATGCACAAAAAAGCTTTGCATTGGCGGCAAACACAGTTTTCTTGGATTTCGAGGGAAATTATGAAAAACTGGCTCAAAGAATCAGGCATGTGAAAGCTATGTGCTTCATTTGAAAGTATGTACTACAAAATTGTGTGAAACTGTTAAATTCGCATAAGCTTTCCAAACTTTTTAAGTGAATTTCTCTATCTTGCCGATAAATATAATTTCCCCTATATTTTGTACTCTTTGTATTTTACTGTTTGAACGTTTAATTTCTTGTTACAGTGGGGCATTTGAAGACTTTTTGACCAATCAAATTTAAAAAAATGCAAATTCCCAGGATTGGCCCTGGTGAAATTTTGAATTGATTGATACATAAGTTGAATATAAAATTTTATGCATTTCACACCCTTGCAGACTTTTAATAAGGCTCACTAGCAAAGTATAACATATGATAACTCTGATCAAAATATTAAAGCTCATACAGAATGAGTGATATGTCATTTTGTAATGGTTCATTGAAGGAATTATGTCTATTCAGGAATTGTAATATACTAATATTCATAACTAATCAATTATATGACTGGCAACACTTTATTGGACAATTTTGCTTGTTTGAAATCATCTTGCGCCAGTTACTGTAGCTTACATTAGGAAGCCTAGGAACAGCTGTTTTGATTCTATATGTCTTTTACCCTTTTGGCTTCCTCACGATACCACCGTTTTATAAACTTCCGGGTATTTTCAAAGAGATGGTTGTTCTCATCACGTTCAAATGAACATACAATCACTGACTGTTTTGGGAGAGTGTCATTCCAAGGTTTTTGTCCTTCTTTGCTCTTAACCATAAGTGGTTGCCAGGCTGTATTATATGTGCCCTTCCAATAGTCCAGTTTAAATTAAGTCAATATCACAAACCTCAGTTACCTTTCCAATGACTGGTTTCTTCTTGTAATTGCTAATATATACTGCCACAAACACTCCAGGGGAAAGTGCTTCAAGATAGTTGTCATCATCGGTCGAATGCCACGAACAGCAGGCGGTTGATATGGTCCTGTATAAATCTGAAAGGAAAAGATTAGCTGATTCGCAAGCTTGTTTTGTATGGTCATGCATGCCAGCAGAGGCTTTACAGTCAACTTGGCCCACCTTCAAGGACTAACTCTCCCTGCTTGTAAACTGACTAATCTAACCACTAAACAACCTACTATGAGCCATGACTGGGTTCTATCTGCAAATTTTGAGAGAAATTTGATTAATCAGTAATTTAGTATCAAAACATCCTCGGTCCCAGGGCCTCACGGCTGACACTCCGTTGCCGGAGGCCCTGGCGAAAACCAAAACCGGAACTTCAAAAATCTTGTAGTTTGCCGGAAGTAAACGTAATAAAATGCTGACTCTGCATCTTTTTTTGCAAGGAGTGAACTTTGAGAATTTCTCGAAAGAAATAATGTTTTACATGCAAGATAAACATTAATTTGATCTGGTTATTTCACCATTAAATGTTTTAATGATTGACCAAATCAGTAAACTAAAGGATCATGTAAATGTTTCAATTATGAAAGCTGTTCAAGTCATCAATCGAAGGATACAATGTGTAGTTTGGGAGTGTCATTGAATACGGACAGCAATCAATTGGAGAACATGAAAGTTTTTGAATTTTTATTATAATCGACGAAATATACAGACAATTTAAAAGCGATAGTTGTGGACGAAGCCCAATCTTAATTGTTACTGAATGGTGAGTGAGTGATACTGATATATTTGGTTGTTTCTCAATATTCTTTCTTTGCTATATTATCTGCAAGACTGTACATGTACATACAGATAACATATATTCTGTTTAATACGTCTGGTCTAAACGCTGCATTTTACATGTGCCAAGTCTAGAAAAGTTTGTTCAACCTTTTAAGTGCTACCAAATTATTTTACTCAGCTTAACATGCCAGATGATTGAGTGTACTGGTCAATGTGAGAGTGCTACTGCTCAATGGGTTAATCAAATTATCTATTGTACTTTACTATCTTACTGTCTAATGTCAGACAATTTTGCTCATCAAGGGGAGAGTGGGTATAATTGCAAAGTAATTACTTTGCCACTTTGGACAAATGTATAAGTTACATATGTTTACTACATACCGGTATGTACATAAATTCAACATTTAAATCAAAATGTCAAACTTTATTATTTGAGTCAAACTTTATTATTTGAGTCAAACCATGTAAATTCACATTAGATTTGGCACATGTAAAATGCGGCATTTAGACAGAGACAATGAGCATAAAAACCTGAAATATTATGTGCATCCCACCTACCCCCTCAACCCCCCCACCCCCTCACCCCACCTTAATCTTGGTATCCCCAGATAACGATTGTTTGTAGGATATACAACTACCTGTAAGGTATCATATGTGACTGCATACTACAAGCTAGTATCATATTGTACAGTTTAATACATATATATGACTTGAAATATGTATTTTCTTGCCAGCCATTTTCAATCATAAAATTATCCATGTTGCTGTTAAATTACGATTGGCCTAAAATTTTTGGCTAAAGATTGTTTTAATTTATAAACATTGTACTACTACTTTAGGAAGGATTTCAGGCCATGCTATGAAAGAATTGGTATGTCGGGAAGTTTGTTTCTTCATCAACTCAGAGAAAGAAGTTGCATCAACTCAGAGAAAGAAAGAAATTTCATCAACTCAGAGAAAGAAAGAAATTACATGAACAAAATAAACAATTTTGTGTCATTGATATAAATAATGATTTATTCTTACAATTTCCTCTATGAAAATTTGGTGTGTTAATAAAGATACTGTAAAAAATAAATAACAGCTTTATGGTGCATCCATGCTGTGCTTTAATATTGCAGTGGTGTAGGAAATGGAGGTGTGTGGGTACCAGTGTGCTTGTGTGTGGAGGCCGGATGCTCAGGAGTTCCCCGACAAGGAATATCAAGTCCCCGACAAGGAATATCAGGTTCCCTGACAAGGAATATCAGGTTCCCAACAGGGGGCTATAATCTTTCAAACAGTAAAATTATTGTTTTGTATGTTCAACTTATGCTCACACATGAAAATGTTGAATTTTTTGGCTCTCATGAAATGGTGCAGAATTTATTGTCTGTAACAGTGCACTTACCAGGACTACAAAACAAGGTCATTACAAAACATAATTTTTCCCAGTGCATTCCACTTCCCTGATTGGGGAGGGGCTAGAATTTCCACATAGGGGAGCTACAGCCCCCCCCCTACCTGATCCTTGCACTGCCTCTGCCTTACCCAATTTCTCTTCAAAAGTTTACAAATTATAAATTTGGTGCTGTTGACATGAAGTGCTCCTCAATTTTAAATTTCAAAACTTTCCTCCTGTGCCTATGGTGACTAATTAAACCTTGAAATCTAGCACTATAATTTATAAAAATTATGTCAACTGCATGTAAGAGATTCAGAAGTTAGCTTCCCAGTTAGTTTCCCAGTTTCATTACTTAATACTGAATGTATGTATACAGCATAAAATTGGGAGGCTCATCACCAGTGTAGCAAAGTTGCAGTATTACTATTAACAATATAATTTGTCAACTGTAAAAAACATTGATAGCCTATAAATTAAGCTATATATTGCATGAAATTTAAGGCAAAACAAGGTGGAAGAACTAACATTTCCAGCTATTATATTAATCACTTTGTCATTATTAAATAGTATTAAAATACAATATTTCATTATTAAATACATTTGATATAAAATACAATATTTTTACATAAATTAAGAGCCTTTGATGAAATTGATATAAAATCAATAAAGTATGTCTATTAAATATAATATATTATAAAATAATTTATATTTTATAATATACTATATTTAATATAATATTAATATGTATGGCATGGACCCCTCTTGCTTTAAAAACCACACGGACACTCATTCACGATTTTCTCATTTGTAATTGAAAGATGCAAGACATCACTCACAATTTTTGTAGATTTGTACAATTAACGGTACAGTCTTTCTCGCATAGCCTTTCGCCTGTCTTTGTTTATACTCTGTATATAATTAAATCTCGTATATAAAACTATAAAATATCCCTTCGGCTTCGGCGATTTCAATCTTTAAATAATCCAGTGTCCAATTTTGTGCAGCTTTTTAATACATTGTGACACAACATCCAACATTTTTTATATTAACAATAAAATTTCCATTGATAGACAGCAGATTTCAACGACCAAAACGACTTTTCGTCTTCTTTGAAGAGTTAATACACTCCTATCTACTCCTATTGTCAGCCATATTTATTAGTAAAAGTTCGTGTTCAATTTCCGCATGCCATTGTTTTCATGCGACCAATCAAATCACTTCTCGTTTTGGTTTTCGCCAGGGCCTCCGGCAACGCAGTGTCAGCCGTGAGGCCCTGGGACCGAGGATGGGCACGGGCAGGTTTATATAAATCTTGGCATTCTTTTCGCAGAATGTGTTCATTTTCTCTTTTCAAGAATAAGGGGGATATTGTAGAGAATTTTTTTAGCTTTAATTTAAGCCTAAGTTTGTTTGTTTGCGTAGTATGTTGGCGGCTAAAATGTCAGGTTATCCAAACACGAAATTATATACTAACAAGACGCCTGCTCAGGCGTTCACACTGGCCTGAAAATGGCAACTTTCGTGGTAGTGGGTGTAATGTGTAGTAGAGAAGTAGATAGGGATACAGGATCATAGGGATACTGGATCATAGTACAACCAATAAATACAATCATGATCAGCAACTATCAACCATAATATACGGTTTATATACCAAGATACCGACCCAGACGTACTCTCCGGCTACGGGAAACTCAACCTGACAAGGCAGGCCCACTATGATCATCTACTATCAACCGCCGGCAAATAATGACGGGCCAATAATAGCGAAGAAATTATATAGTCCTTGATTTTTAATGCCGTTATATGGCTAGTTTCAGGTGCTAAAAAGTTCATAGACATAGACGATTCTTCTAAAAAATACGTCAATTTGCTTCTATTTATAAGATAAACTGATCCCAACCCAAAGCCCTTCTCAATAACCCCAACCAGTAAACATCTAATAAACAATTTAAGAATTAAAAAAGTGTGGGCGGGGGGGGGAGGGGGAGTTGGATCTTGTTCTAAAAACAAATCGAACCGTATCACGTTTCACTTCGCCGCACGCAACGCCACCTCGCTGAATACAATCCAAAACATACATTTTATAGTAATATATGACGAATTAGAAAGTAATTGGCGCAAATTAATGTAATTAGGTGCAAATTTACAATAATGCAAATAAATACAAGAGCACAACGCATGTTTATGAGCCTACAAAGTATATTTATACTTGTTAATTAAAAAGTCAAACTGTCAAACCTTTAACTTGTCCTTGTTTATATTCCATATCGTATAAATTTCGCTGGGTCCAAATTAGTTTGGGGTTTTCGAGTCGTTACACAAAGAAAAACACACTAATTCAACACGCAAGAAAGGCCAGAGTGCAACACAACGTAAAATCCATAGGATTAGGAAACCGGCTCAATTCTTTGAAAATTCAACGAAACTGTGTGAAATATATATGATCGCTCAGTGAAAAGCTGCCATTTTGAAACTGAACTGAATATGTCACTGGAGCACGTTGCACCCTGAGCCTGCGATGAGCTAACGTAAACTCCATTTCTCGACGAAAACAGAAAACAGAAAAAGAGGGATTTAAGACACTTGGCCTACGGCCAGTGTAAAAAGTAAAATGCGTATAAAATTTTTCAATATATACTTTTTAGTATTTTACCGAAATGGCATGTGATAAAAACCAAACATACTTGCAGGTTCGGTGAGTCCGGGATTGGACGCACCTCAGGTGGCTGGAAGTTTCCCGAACTCAGCCACCCTCGGTGCGTCCAATCCCGGACTCACCGAACCTGCAAGTATGTTTGTTATAAAACACTCCTTTATAGCTCGAGCCTCGAGTAAAAAAAACCATTCTTCAAACAGCTCATGACGTCATGACCGCCATGGCTTTTGTTGAGTTGGTCCCTGGGGAATGAGTGCAAACGCTCTGTATAGTGTACATTTGTGTTGTTCTACTGTACAATAACATTTCATTTTCAGCGGCAATCTTATTAGGCATTTTGTGACGTAGATCCGTGACATGTATTTCAGTCAAAGTTCAAACTAACTGAAATATCTTGAAAACAAAGCGAAAGTGCAAAAGAAGTTACTCCATAGTTTATATGGTTCTTTTAAGTAATTGACAATGTCTGAAAATCTTCGTTTCATATACATGCATTTTATATGTCATAATGTCAGAAATTGCGTTGAAGTTGCAGCCAAAATTACCTCTTGTATAGCCACAGATGTAACATGGCCTTTACTTCCCAATCTAGGCAATTACGCAGAACGAATCGGTGGAGGCGCCCCGGTGTATCTTGCAGCCGTTCTTGAGTACCTCACTGCTGAGATTCTGGAACTCGCGGGAAACGCCGCACGGGATAATCGAAAAACACGCATCATCCCACGACATATTCAGCTTGCCATTCGCAATGACGAAGAACTCAACTCGCTGCTGTCCAACGTAACATTAGCTCAAGGCGGAGTATTACCAAACATCCAGGCTGCATTACTACCCAAGAAAACTGTACAAAAAAGTCATTCCGCGTCGCAAGAGTTTTGAAACTTTTACAGAAAGATTATAAATATATATATATTATAATACACAGATATATATGAATTACGAAAATATATGAATATCAATAAAAGTTGGGATACGTATATAATACAATATAAATTATATAAGATATCTGCATGATTGGTTTGTAAAGTTGGGTGGTATTATATTGTGCTTTTGAATGATACTAATCTGATAATTGACAGTGAATTTGATATTTATCAGCGTTGAACATAAAATATTTTGAGACGTGTAATGTGAAGTAATGTGTGTTATTTGACAATAAATATTGTATGAACTGCGGATGTACAGTTGTCATAACGGCACGCTTTTATTTTTGAACTGGATAAATGATGGTCTCTTCATTTTTATGATGAATATCATCATGCAGGACTCCCCCCCCCCCGTCGCCAAAAAAATTTCGGTCAGTGTACCATTTTAGGGATCAAAAATTTTTTCGGACATACCAAAATTTTTCGTAAACTCACTCAAATTTTCGAAACATCACAAAATTAACCACAAAATTGACATAATTTGTCCCATTTTTATAATAAACCAAAATTGCCCGACTGTTGAGCGAATATTGCCCGACTGCCCAACAAACTGGGGGGGCCGCCCCCCCCGCCCGGTACGCCCATGATATTACGTATATTTACGTTTATCCATTTACTTTTTTCATACCAGTAGGCAATAAAGTTCAGGCTTTAAAGGATTAGTGTCACACCGGGAATTCGCGGGCTCAAACTCCTGCTGGCGGCCATTTTTCGGGACGAATAGATTAGATGATCTGGAAAGTGTTTACAATCCGTCATATATTTAAACCATCCTTTTATAATACTTGCTCTTTTTGTGTTATTTTTACCAGAAATGTACCAAACAAGGTATTATCGCTATTTGTTGTATTTAAGTAAAATGTAAACAATAACAAAAGCCCGCAATGCATGACCCTGACACTAATCCTTTAAGCTGTTGATTGCTACCTTTCTGGTATTATTCAATTGTGTCTCTCATGTGCGTCCTCATAGCCGATACCAGGTATGTTAACAGTCTTAGCCGTCTGTATCACTGACAGTACTTGAAGAATCAGATTCAGGGGGGCTTATATTCGGGGGGGCTTATACGGAATGGTGTGAACGTTAGTAATTTGATGGGCTTATAGACGGGGGGCTTATATTCGGGGGGGGGGGGCTTATATTCGGAAGTTTACGGTATACGCAACCCAATGAACGATCAGCTTTCAAAGCAATTATAAAGCGGATATATACAGTCAAACAAGATCTACCGAATCTAACATCATATCCATCTCTCAATGGATTTCTCAGAACAATGGCATGGCTTCAAACGTTACAAAAACTGAAACAATGGTCGTATAGCAAGTAGCAACCAAACAAAAATTAGCACGATTAATATTACAAGTAACAAGGTGAAAGAATTCAAGTTAAAACCACTGATGAGTGATGAACAAAAGCTCCTTGCCCTTGGAGTCGTGTTACATGAGAGCCTATAGATTGGAACTTACATTTGTAAAAGAGTATCTAAATGCATAGCTTTATTGGAAACTATAATTAAAGTGTCTCCCACTAGTACTGAAATCCAGACAATCCTTTTACAAAACTTTGATTCAACCGACAATAGATTTCGCCTGTGGCTGTGTTGTCTGGGGCAACACTAGTAAATCTACAGCATGAGCTCCACCTTCGAATTTACTATGTGAGTAAATTGTTAAACATGTCCGAAATTATCAATACAAAAAATTCGCGACACATGTTGAGCCCTAACTGCCCTAATCCCTAACCCTAATCTTAATCTAACCCTAATCAAATCTTTATTTGACACTAATCCAAATTTTTTTGAAAGGACCAAATTGAGGGCACGAGTTAACTTAATAATCCTGCAAGGCCAGGATCTTGTTCCTAATTATAACTAGAAATAGTTTACACTAAAACTGCCCCCGGCTTATCATGGTGTACTAACTAGCTTTTATTAAAAATTAAAAATGATCATGCCTTATGGTAATTTACAAAATGTTATTACTACTTTCTGGCTTTCTTTCAAAACGCTTAGAAGATTGATAAAATTGGACGAACTTTAAAAGTGAAGCACGTGTAACTTGATCCTTGTGCGTCTATCCGGCTGAAGGAATGGCGCTTTTCAATATAATGGAATGACTATATGAGTCCCTTGTTACAAACGTTTATAATGTGACCGTTGTGTGTTAAGCTTTGCTCAATTTTTTATATTTGTATTTGTTTTTGACTGACTGATGTGTGAACCAAGTCTTTTGGTTCCTGTTTTGATTAATGTGTCTGAAAAATCGTATAGTTGATACTTGATAGAATCTTGATAGACGGAGTTTTTAATTTGCGTTACTGTTTTCGTTATTTGATGGATCGACTCCTTCACCAACAAATGATAGTAACAACGTACCTCACAAGTCAATTAATAGACACGTAAAACAGACCACAGAAATAAAATGCCGTTTGACAAGGTGTTGACCCAAGCGAATAATAATTCTTACAGAAAGCAACGCAACCTTTGAACCCTCACCTTTTAAACTTGCGCAGCTACGGCACTATGTCAATAATTCACTTGCCTTTTATAATAAAATTTGAACCCTCACCTTTTAAACTTGTGGCCTTTTTTATCTGTAATATATAAACTAATTGCTTCAATTCATGCTTAATTTATATTTGCATCAACTTATATCATATTACGTGCGGGGACTTCAATACCCCCAATGTTTTGCGATATTACCCGCAAAGCATTGATATTACCCACCAATGCTTTGCGGGCGAAAACTTAAAAACTTAAATTTCTCTGCCTCTGGTATACACCGTATGTATACACTGATATCATATTACACTATTACGTCCGGGGACTTCAATATATGCCTCCTCGGGTTTTGGCCCTCTGGGGCCAAAACCCTGCGGGGGCAAAAATCCCTCGGGGAATGTGGCAAAAAACCGGGAGATGTAAATATAAGGTTTGACTTTATTATCAGTTGTATATACTGGTTATATTTATCTAAAAAAATTGTATGATTCTTAGGGGGAAAGGGGGCGGGGTAAAAATAATGTTTAAAAAAATATATGAGTGTTTCCAGCCCCCCCCTAACATAGATAATGAACGCTCCTTTAATTATGCCTGTGATCATGTTACTCAGAGTGTATATCCCCACGGGCAAGCCCGAAAAATATGCCTGTCCACGGTGGGAATCGAACCTACGACGTCGACTTTTGGAGTACCTGCAGCCCAATGGGTAGTCAATTTACCCCGGGCGTTCTGTGACCCCCGTCCGCGATCAAATCAGATCATGTTAGCGGCTCAACATTTACTGATTAATTAATGATTAATTAATTCGAATTCGAGCGCGAATTATGGAAATTGGCGCGAACTACAAAATGGCCCGAAGACAGCGAAATAACATTTCTAAAAAACAATTTATCGAATTTTGAAAACGGAAGGGGTAATTTAATAATAGTAATTTACAATTTTTAACTCCCCTTTGTTGTCTAGTACCTCCACACTTTAATATTAAACTGTGTTGTCTAGTAATTCCACACTTAAAAAATAAACCTGACCCGAACTCTAACCCTAATCTAACCAAAAGGTATAAAGACAATCTTAGGAAAAATTTTAGAGAAAAAAAAAATACGAGAACGAATACAAAAGGTTGGCCATCGCGGGATTTGAACCGTCCGAATTAGCAGCAGCATGCGAGAACGCACGCAACGGCGCAACGCCCTAGACAACCACCCCACCGGCACTCACTGAAATACAAACGCAGAAAATCTACTATATAGTGGTAAAAACGTATATAAATAAAAGGATTCGCTGACATTTTGTAATAAATATTGGGATGGTATGGTATTTATTGTTTTTTCTAGCCACGTCAAGGACCTCAAATTTCAGAGAGGTTATAAAACCAGTCATATTTGTTCTTCGATGGTAAATATTCGAATGATGGCCCATGCATCTGAAAATATTTCCACTTTCTAAAGTTGTAGATGAAAAATATTCAGCGATTTTCAGCGATAAAATTCCTTTGGAATTAAAGTAAAACCTTCGAACTTCGGGCGATGTTATTTAAGCCGTAATTTACTAGACGCCGCTGACATGTTCTGATATGATAGCGGACGGGGGTCACAGAACGCCCGGGATAAATTGACTCTCTGCCAACTGAGCCACGCGGTCAGGTCGGTTCGAATACCGTATCACTCGATTGAACGCCGCCCCCGATTGAGCGCCGCCCCCGAATAAGCGCCGCATTTGAGATAATTTTTTTTTAAAGAGCGCTGCCCCCGAATGAGCGCCGCACTGAAAAGTATAAAAACTTTCCGCCGTCAACATGGGGACATGGTGACAAAAATCGTTTAAAACTTGTTTGTTTTATTGTTAAAAGTTATAACCCACAAATAAAAGTTTTTTTAAAGAGCGCCGCCCCCGATTGAGCGCCGCCCCTGAATGAGCGTCGCATCGGAAGCTCTGAAAATTTAAAGAGCACCGCTGCGCTCAAACGAGTAAAAACGTGTGATATTTCGGAACCGAGTCTAGTTCCTTCGACATCAATACAATCTAACAATCATGAATTCTTCTGCGTTGGTGCAGTGAGCCGTGCAGACGTGTACTCAGGTGAATATGATGCCTGTGATATTACTCTGAGTATCCACACGTGGGCAAGCCGGAAAAATATGCCTGCCCACGGTGGGAATTAATCGAACCTACGACCTTTGGAGTACCAGCTCCTTTAATTAATTTCCCAGAGGCAATTTCGTATTTGATTCATGTGAATTTCGTGACCGCCGGGTAAAAACACAATTTCGATACACTATATATCCATATTGTATTTTATCGTATTGGCTAGGATACGAGGGAAACAATCAAGTGAAACCATAGCCCAGAGGGCCAGACACGGGGGCGGATCGACGAGGAGTTAGAAATGAGTCGAAATAATATTCTTTTATATTTCGCTTTTTATACATGTCCTTGCCATGTATTTCGTGATGTGCATTCCGTATGGCCTACTTATGTTCATAATTACATCAAGTACCTTATTTCATTAATTAAATACGTCATGAATATCTTAGTGTTTTGAAAGGGTAATAATGTGTGGTAGAAACTTTTGCCGAGAAAATCGCATACGATATATTTTTTTTAGCAATTAAAAGCAACGAAATGTTTCGGAAATAATTGAGAAAGTAAAACTATCGCGTTCTAGTAGATATCATTGCAATAATTCAGAAATTAAGAAATATATATAAGTCATATTTGTTATCTGTATATTTACAGTAAGACCTGCAAGACACAATAGACCGGCCTAATCGACC